ACCATTTGGGGAAAGTCTGATTGAGCATGTGCCGAACTGTACATCTCCTCCATCTCTTATTCCCACTCTTATATTAAGCAGGTATCACTTTTCAGTTAAATTTAAACACTAAGAATAATTCTGTGTTAATTAAAGAGTTCAACCAATAGTATTAATTAGAACAAAAAATACTAAAAGGAATAAAATAGTAAGTTGTTCCTCGACAGGACAAAGTCTGATCAAGTCATTGTTTCTCATAGTGTCCATTTCACTTCTACAGGTCTCCTTTTAGGTGCTCAGTAAGTTGTCATCGATCATGGAGAACATATGATATTTGCCCCTTTGGGACTGGCTTATTTCACTCAGCATGATGTTTTCAAGATTCCTCCATTCTGTTGCAAATGACCGGATTTCATTTTTGACTGCTGTATAGTATTCTATAGAATACATGTCCCATAATTTCTTTATCCAGTCTTCTGTTGATGGGCATTTAGGTTGAGTCCATGTCTTAGCTATTGTGAATTGAGCTGCAATAAACATTAAGGTGCAGGCAGCTCTTTTATTTGCCAATTTAATTTCCTTTGGGTAAATTCCAAGGAGTGGTATGGCTGGGTTGTATAGTAGGATTGTATTCAGGTTTCTGAGCAATCTCCAAACTGACTTCCAGAGTGGCTTTACCAGTTTGCATTCCCACAAACAGTGGGTTAGTGTTCCTTTTTCCCTACATCCTCTCCATCATTTGTCATTTGATGATTTCTGTATGAAAACTATTCAAATGGGGTGAGGTAAAACCATTGTGGTTTTGATTTGCATTTCCCTGGTTGCTAGTGATCTTGAACATTTTTTCATGTGCCTGTTGGCCATTTGATTTCCTCTTTTGAAAAATGTCTATTGAGGTCCTTGGCCCATCTCTTCAGTGGGTTGTTTGTTTTGATGTTGTGGAGTTTCTTGATCTTTTGTGGATTCTGGTTATTAATCTTTTATCTGTTGCATAGTTTGCAAATATTTTTTCCCATTCTGTTGGTTGCCTCTCTCCCTTTCCCACTCCCTCTCCCCTTCCATTCACATCAAGATTCATTTTCGATTCTCTTTATATACAGAAGATCAGTTTAGCATAAATTAAGTAAAGATTTCAACAGTTTGCTCCCACATTCTTTCCACTGGGATCTCACAGAGATCTTTCATTTAGTTTTTTTTTCCCCAGAGTGTCTTGGCTTTCCATGCCTAAAATACTCTCATGGGCTCTTCATCCAAATCCAAATGCCTTAGGGGCTGATTCTGAGGCCAGAGTGCTGTGTAGGACATCTGCCATTCTATGAGTCTGCTGTGTATCCCGCTTCCCATGTTGGATCTTTCTCTCCATTTTTTATTCTATCAGTTAGCATTAGCAGACACTAGTCTTGTTTGTGTGATCCCTTTGACTCTTAGACCTATCATTATGATCAATTGTGAACTGAAATTGTTCACTTTCACTAGTGAGATGGCATTGGTACAAGCCACTTGGATGGTATTGTATTGGAATCCTCTGGCACATTTCTAACTCAACCATTTGGGGCAAGTCCGATTGAGCATATCCCAAATTGTACATCTCCTCCCTCTCCTATTCCCACTCTTATATTTAACAGGGATCACTTTTCAGTTAAATTTAAACACCTAAGAATAATTGTGTGTTAATCACAGAGTTCAACCAATAGTATTAAGTAGGACAAAAAAATACTAAAAGGGATAAAGTATTGAATTGTACATCAACAGTCAGGACAAGGGCTGATTTCACTTCAACAGGTTTACTTTTTGGTGCTTGGTTAGTTGTCACTGACCAGGGTGAACATATGATATTTGTCCCTTTGGGACTGGCTTAATTCACTCAGCGTGATGTTTTCAAGATTCCTCCATTTTGTTGCAAATGACTGGGTTTCATTGTTTTTGACTGCTATATAGTATTCTGTAGAGTACATGTCCCATAATTTCTTTATCCAGTCTACTGTTGATGGGCATTTGGGTTGGTTCCAGGTCTTAGCTATTGTGAATTGAGCTGCAATAAACATTAAGGTGCAGGAAGCTCTTTTATTTGCCAATAATTTCCTTTGGGTAAATTCCAAGTAGTGGTATGACTGGGTTGTATAGTAGGGTTATATTCAAGTTTCTGAGGAATCTCCAGACTGACTTCCATAGTGGCTTTACCAATTTGCATTCCCACCAACAGCGGATTAGTGTCTCTTTTTCCCCACATCCTCACCAGCATCTATTGTTGGTAGATTTCTGAATGTGAGCCATTCTAACTGGGGTGAGGTGACCTCATTGTGGTTTTGATTTGCATTTCCCTGGTTGCTAGTGATCTTGAACATTTTTTCATGTGTTTGTTAGCCGTTTGGATTTCCTCTTTAGAAAAATATTTGTTGAGGTCCTTGGCCCATCTCTTTAGTAGGTTGTTTGTTTTGATGTTGTGGAGTTTCTTGATCTTTTGTAGATTCTGGTTATTAACCCTTCATCTGTTGCACAATTTGTAAATATTTTTTACCATTCTGTCGGTTGCCTCTTCACTTTCCTGACTGCTTCTTCTGCCGTACATAAACTTCTCAATTTGATGCAATCCCAAATGTTAATTTTGGCTTTGACTGCCTGTGCTTCTGGGGTCTTTTCCAAGAAGTCTTTGCCGGTGCCTATATCTTGCAGGGTTTCTCCAATGTTCTCTAATAATTTGTTGGTGTCGGGTCGTAGATTTAAGTCTTTAATCCATGTTGAGTGAATTTTTGTGTAAGGTGCAAGGAAGGGGTCTTGCTTCATGCTTCTGCACATGGAAATCCAATTTTCCCAGCACCATTTATTGAATAGACTGTCCTTCCTCCAAGAATTTTAGATCCTTGAACAAATATAAGTTGGCTGTAGATGTTTGGATTGATCTTTGATGTTTCAATTCTGTTCCATTGGTCTATCCATCTGTTTCTGTACCAGTACCATGCTGTTTTGATAACAACTGCCCTGTAGTATGTCCTAAAATCTGGTATTGTGATGCCTCCAGCTTTGTTTTTGTTGTACAAGATTGCTTTTGCTATTCGAGGTCTCCTGTGTCTCCATATGAATTTCAGCATCATTTTTTCCAGATCTGAGAGGAAGGTCTTCAGTATCTTGATTGGTATTGCATTGAATATGTAAATTGCTTTTGGGAGAATGGACATTTTGATGATATTGATTCTTCCAAATCATGAGCATGGAAGATTTTTCCATTTCTTGGTATCCTCTTCTATTTCTTTCTTTAAGGTTTTGTAATTTTCATCGTAGAGATCTTTAACGTCCTTGGTTAAGTTTATTCCAAGGTATTTGATTGTTTTTGTAGCTATTGTGAATGGGATTGATATTAGCAGTTCTTTCTCAGCCATGGCATTTCCTGTGTATACAAAGGCTGTTGATTTTTGTACATTGATTTTATATCCTGCTACTTTGCCAAACTCTTCTATGAGTTCCAATAGTCTCTTAGTAGAGTTCTTTGGGTCCCCTAAATAAAGAATCATATCATCTGCAAAGAGGGATAGTTTGAGTTCTTCCTTCCCAGTGTGTATCCTTTTAATTTCTTTTTCTTGCCTAATAGCTCTGGCTAGAACTTCCAGAACTATATTGAATAGCAGTGGTGAGAGTGGGCATCCCTGTCTGGTACCAGATCTCAGTGGAAATGCTTCCAACATTTCCCCGTTCAATAGGATGTTGGCCGTGGGTTTTTCATAAATTGCTTTGATTGTATTGAAGAATGTTCCTTCTATACCCAGTTTTCTTAGAGTTTTCATCATGAACGGGTGTTGTATTTTATCAAATGCTTTCTCTGTGTCTATTGAGAAAATCATGTGGTTTTTCTTCTGCAGTCTGTTAATGTTGTGTATCACATTGATTGATTTGCGAACATGGAACCATCTCTGCATACCAGGGATAAATCCCACTTGGTCTGGGTGGATGATCTTTCTGATGTGTTGTTGCATTCTATTGGCCAGTATTTTATTGAGGATTTTTGCATCTATGTTCATCAGGGATAGTAGTCTTTAATTTTCTTTCAATGCTGCATCTTTTTCCGGCTTAGGAATTAAGGTGATGCTGGCTTCATAGAAAGAATTTGGGAGGATTCCCTCTTTTTCGATTGTTCTGAATAGTTTGAGAAGAATTGGAGTCAGTTCTTCTTTAAATGTGTGGCAGAATTCAGCAGTGAATCCATCTGGTCCTGGGCTTTTCTTTGTTGGGAGGGCCTTTATTACTGTTTCAATTTCTGTCTCAGTTATGGGTCTGTTTAGGTTTTCCATGTCTTCCTGGTTCAATTTAGGTAGGTTCCTTGGCAGGGAAGGCTCTGCTGCTGAGTTTCAGATTGAAGTGAGCCTTCTAATGGGAAGTGGACCAAAGTCCTCTCCTTACGTCCTGCCAAGGAACCTGACTTTATTGTGTCTGTGCCCTGAGACTTTTGTGGAAGGCCAGACTTAAGGAGGGTGGACTAGTTTATTTGACTGAGACTATTTCAAATCATATCATTCAGGCTGCTGCATGGGTATTCTTGGCTGCTTTTAGACAGTGTATAGTGAGAATCAGATATAAAATGCACCAAAACAGAAGGAGTTGGAAAGTTTCCAGCCTGACCAGAAAAGGAACAAAGAAATGCCTGTTTGGGACAGGAGAGTGCAGTAAGGAAACTGCATGCTAAAGAGATTAGGGCAGGTAAAAATGGGCTTACATGCTCATCAGCGAGATGATGGGGACAAGGACTTCAGGGCATCTCAGGAATCCTCAAGGCCGCCCATACAGTCACAGGTCCCAGAGGCCTAGAGGAACAGAATGCTTCATGGAATTCTGGGGCCCTTTCCACAGGTTTGCCAAAGACCACAGTGGGACTGGGTCCCTGCATTCTGCTGACTAAGCACTCTGAGTTTGTGTCTCAAGCAGGCCCCAGCGCAGCTCCTGCTGGTTGCCGCCCATGGCACTGCCTGATGCTGAATTACCAGGCACTCAGAATGCACGAATTATGAGGTCATGATGGCTTCCACCAACATTTCAAAAGAAAGCACAGGGGCCATGTAGAGTTTTGTCAAAGGTGGAAGGCTCTGCATGGAGCAATTGTTGTGGCAGTAGCTTGTGGAGCTATATGAAAGTGAGGCAAAAGCCAATGAGAATACTCCAGCAAAGTCCAGCTACATGCAACGTCCTCCATGGAAGGCTGAAGGCAGACTACGAAACCAACCCAAGAAAGCAGACATGTGGGTTAAGACCAGCAAAGTTGTAAGGATGGGACTACCCAAGCCTTTGGGAGCTCATGCCTCGCTAGTGATATCTGGATGCTGAACACAGAGCTTTTGGATCTAACGCTTGACCTATTGTGTTTTGGTCTTACTTTAGGCTGATTATTTCTGCTTTCCATTTCTGTCTCCCCTTTATGAAATCGGAATATTGACCTTGTGCCTGTTCCACCATTGTATCTTGAATTATATGATTTGTTATTTAATGTTACAGGGGTTTACATGTAGGGAGTTTGCCTTCAATCTCAGATGGGACTTTGGACTTGGACTTTTCAGCAATGCTAGAATGTAAGATGTTGACATTCTGGTGGAGAGAAAGAGCACATTCTGCACAGTGAGGTACACCTGAGCCACTGGAGGCCAAGAGTGGAATGCTATGGTTTGGATATTGGCTTGAGTACCCCCCAAACATCCACATGTTAGAGGCCTCATTCCAAGGGTGGTACTGGGGAGTGGGCAAAGGAACCATTTGGAGGTAGGGCCTGATGGAAGGTACTTAGGTTATTAGGGGCCTGCCTTTGGAAGCTCATTCTCATGTGACCTCTTGACTTCTAGGAGATCCCCTGGAGTTTTCCCCAGCAGAGTTGGTTACAAAATCCTGAATGTGGAACTTCCCACTCTGATCCCTCGATTACTCTGTGATTTATCCTCTGAACCTACCTATATCACCATCCACCATAAGCCCCTTGCCAGAGCCAAAACCTGCACCACGCCATTTGGATTTTGAACCTGCAAAACCCTGTTAAATAAACCTCTCTTTTCTCCACAAGCAGCTTGTGTGAGGTAGTTCACTGTGTATCCAAAACCCAACTAGTACAGTATTAAACACCGAGCACTGTTTATCTTACTATTTTTATTTCATAATCTCCATTCATTTCTTTGTTTCCCCCAGGCATTTACATATGGAAAGAAGTTCCTTTCAACCACAGTATGCATATTATCTAATAATTTCAATCCCTCCCATTCATATTGTCTCATTTTACCCATCTTAAGTAGAAGATGCTTTCTTTTATAAGCCTCAAGTACTAAGTATAAGTACTCAAGTAGAAGAAATAGGTTAGGCATCCTCCTTGTTTCCCTTAATTCCTTGTGCAAAATAGATACAATGAGCTGAACATCTCCTCATCTTCCCAAATGTACCGATTTACCCTCCTTCTGTTTCAGTGGAAAAAGTGTTCACACCATGAACTTTACCAGGCTCTCCATCAGAGCAATAGGGTTCTACTCTTCACTTACTCTATGACTTTGCTTCAGAAATTGCCTCTTCTAACTCCTCTATCAGTTGCCCCATTTCAATAGGATTACTCTGTGCACGAACTTTCCTAATATTTTTCCTTCTCAAAAATACTCCTACAACTCCATGACCTTCACTAAGCACCTCACTATTTCCTGTGACAAAATTTCTGAAAATTGTCAAAGTTCTCTTTCATCAGTCTCCACTTCCTCACCCTTCCTTAGCTCTTCCCATCTCCCATCTCTTTTTTTCTCCACCCTCTTGATAGCTTACCAACGGCCTCCACGTCGTCCAACCCAGAGAGCCCTTCTGTGTTCTCTCAGCAGCATTCAGTGCATTAACCACCCCCTCCTCTTTCCTTTTCTTGGTTTCTGTATCACTGAGCCATCTTGGGATACACTCCCGTAGGGTATCAACCATGCTTTCTTTCTTTCTTTCTTTTTTTTTTTGTTTGTTCATTTGACAGGCAGAGTGGACAGTGAGAGAGAGACAGAGAGAAAGGTCTTCCTTTTGCCGTTGGTTCACCCTCCAATGGCCGCAGCGGCCGGTGCGCTGCGGCCAGCGCACCGTGCTGATCCGATGGCAGGAGCCAGGTGCTTTTCCTGGTCTCCCATGGGGTGCAGGGCCCAAGCACCTGGGCCATCCTCCACTGCACTCCCTGGCCACAGCAGAGAGCTGGCCTGGAAGAGGGGCAACCGGGACAGAATCCGGTGCCCTGACCGGGACTAGAACCCGGTGTGCCAGCGCCGCAAGGCAGAGGATTAGCCTAGTGAGCCATGGCGCTGGCTAACCATGCTTTCTAAGTTTTAGCAGAGATAGATGGAACTTTGAAAACACCTGTGGGCTTCCTTCAGGTGACCAGAGGTGTTGGAATGGAGAGCACATGGCACAGAGCATCAACACTGCACACTGACATCATCGAAGCCAGAAGCCTTTTTTACGTTATTCCCACATTTTGAAGGTTGTGCTACTAGCTCTTAAGTAGCTTTAGGAACTGCAGTGTAGCCTGGTAGTAGCAAGAAGGGGCCCAAAGGGCCTGAAGTGCCAGCTGAAGCGGAGGCAGTATAAGAAAGGTAGGTAAGCCGCTTTCTTCCATAGCCTCTCATATTTGTTGAGAGTAAGCAAGCTGCTGCTGAAACCACTGTGGAAAAACAAACTATCAATCAAGCTTTTATTTTTATCAAAACTCTCCTTACCACCAAACTTGGAAAAATGGACTTTTAAAGGCTTTCTAAACAGATGACAATTTTAAAAGTGTTGGAAAAAACCATAGACTTTGTGCAGAATGTCCTTTAGGCATTGACTATAATTCACTTTCACTTTTTTGGAACCAACTTAGTCTTGGGCTATCATTTTAAACTGTTCATATTAGATCCTGTTATTGCAGTAATACATCCTAGAAGCAAACTAATTAAGTGCCTTTTGATTTGAGTGAAATGAGAACAGTTATAGAGGCTAGAGTCTAATTTGCTTTGAAAGTTAATGGAGTCATAGACGGGTGGGAAGTAAAGGTGTTGAAGGAGAAACTCCACAGGGACAGAGAGCCAAAGGACCCCCTTCTCCCCCTGAATTAGGCCTCTTTCTTTCTCAGAGAGGAACACTTGTTAATTATGAAATACTCATAAATCTGCCTCAACTTAAGTGCCTGAGAGCTGAGGATAATGGAATGAAAAACAATTTAAATCACATTATGTAGCAAGCAATTGAATAATGTATTTTCGTACTGTCTCAGTGCATTTCATTACTTCAAGGCCACAGATCTGTTCCTGCGACTTCAGATATAAAACAGCAAACACACTTGAGTTGTATTGTTCTTTATGATTCATGGTTCTCGGCAGTGAACAGAGTATTGGCTTCAGGAAGATTTTTCCTTTTCAACGCCTGCTACCGATTTATGGTCTGTTTTTTGAAGGGTATTGAAAGTGTTGAATCTGCTAAAAATATGGTTATCTCAGAATAGTATCAGAAATTTTAGAATTTCTATGACTAACAACTCTTTTAAAAGAAACTCAAGCTATATCTTAAAGGAAAAAAATGTTAGTAGTAGTTATGAATTATTTTCAAGGACATAACATTATTATTTTGCCTCTTCTGGGTGCCGTTAAAAACCATGTGTAGAAAAAAAAACTCTGAATTTTTTCTTTGTTTTTTTCTTTGTTTTTCTTTGATAATATTTTAAAATAGCATTACAGTAGTCATCAATCAGGTGTATAGGCCCCAACAGGAAAAGAATTCCCAGTATCCATGAGGAAACGAATGAGCCACTCAGGTCAGAGCAAACCTATACTTGTGAAAAGAACTATCTCATTCTTGTTGATGTAAAAAAATTCCCCAAATGTGATTAATAACAATCGAAGATCCTGTGCAATTAGGAATTATTGCATCCAGCGGACCCAAACATCTGGAGCTGGACAGGTCCACAGGGCTCACTTAGAGCAACCTCCTCGTTTTTCACAGGTGAAATTACTAAGGCACTCAGAGAATGAATGACTTAGCAAAGGTCATGCTACTAGGACTGGAATTGAATCCAGCCCCTTCTTGCTTCACTTGGAGTGAGATGAAAGAGACATTCATTAGGTTGCATTGCAAGTGGCATTGTGGACTCAAGGGTCAGAAAAAAAAAATCACCACAAAAAATTAAAGCATTTTCTAATACATCATTGAACTGATAGAAAAGAACAATTAATAATACGGGGAAATAGATAAGAAAGCACAGATTTACAGATGCATGATACTGCTGCACAGGTGTTCATTCATGATTTTTGCCAATCTCTAGGATCCACAACCCAGGATTTAAAGAGACACACTCAGAATTTGGAGCTAAACAGGGTGAAGGTTTAGCCAGCTGACTCTCCCTTGGCGCTGGAACTTACACAGGATGAATAGGAACAAAGAGAAAAATATCACCACACAAAGAAAGCTAGTCAATGAGCTTTTTAGCAGTAGAAGAGTCCCCAAAACAAATTGGCACTCAGAGTAAAGGCAGCAGGGTTGGAACATGGAACAGGAAGAATGCATTCTTCCTGTGCGGTCAAACCCCATCCGATAATTTAGTCTCAAGGGACATGGATTGGCAGTGCCCTGAAAGATCTGGCTGAAGAATCTCTCTTAACACCTTCAAACTAGCCTCGCAGTCCTGCCATTAACGTCCCAGGAAATTAATCAAAGGTTGTATCTATGAAAGAGAATGAAAGAGACGGTGACAATTTTCAAGAGATGGATGACAAGTGTTGGTGAGGATCTGGAGAAACTGGAACACTTAATACAGATTATAAACTGACACACTGGCTTCAAAAGAGTTTGGCAAAACAGACATTTAGCCCAGCGGTTAAGAAGCTTGTTGGGGCCGGCGCGGCGGCTCACTAGGCTAATCCTCCACCTGCGGCACCGGCACACCAGGTTCTAGTCCTGGTTGGGGTGCTGGATTCTGTCCTGGTTGCTCCTCTTCCAGGCCAGCTCTCTGCTGTGGCCCAGGAGTGCAGTGGAGGATGGCCCAAGTGCTTGGGCCCTGCACCCCATGGGAGACCAGGAGAAGCACCTGGCTCCTGCCATCGGATCGGCGTGGTGCACCGGCCGCGGCGGCCATTGGAGGGTGAACCAATGGCAAAAGGAAGACCTTTCTCTCTGTCTCTCTCTCTCACTGTCCACTCTGCCTGTCAAAAAATAAATAAAAAGAAAAAAAAATAAGAAGCCTGTTGGGGTAGTTGGATTCAAATCCTGGCTCTGCCTCTTGTCTCCAGCTTTTTGCCAAGGTAGACTCTGGAAGCAGGAGTGATGGCTCAATCAAGTGGGTTTCTGCTTATCACATAGGAGAGATGGATTGCATTCCTGGCTTCTGAGTCTTGGCTCTGGCCCCAGCCCAGTCTCAACTGTTTCAGACATTTGAGGAGTGAGCTGGCGGTTGGGACTGTCAATATAAATATAGACATAGATGTAGATATAGATACAGATATATAGATGATATAGATATCTGTGTCTTCCTAGCTGTCTCTCTCAAATAAATAAATAAATATTTTAATTTTTAAAAAGAGTTAGGTGGTTTCTCAAAAATGTTAGCAATTCCACATATGTTCAGACGAAAATCTGAAGAGGAATGTTCACAGAAGCACTATTTGTAATAATCATAGAATGGAAAGAATAAAAATTGCCATCAAGTGATGAGTGCCTAAATAACATATGGTATTTCCATATAGTGAAATATTTTTCAGTAGTCAAATATTATTATATTAACATGCAGTTATACATGTTACAATGTGGATAACCCTTCAAAATATTATAACTGAAATGAATAAGTTACAAACAACTGCATTTTGCAATTCAATTTATATAAAATTTCAAGAATGGAGAAATTCATGGATATAGAAAGATAAGTAATTGTCTAAGAATAAGGTTATAGAGATTTGAAGAAATTGGAAATGATTGTTAATCAGTATGTAACTTATTTTTAGGGTGATGAAAGTGTCCTAAAATTGATCATGGTGGTAGTTACACAACTTTTTAAATTGTACAGCTTAAATAGGAGA